AAAAAAACTAACTATATTAATAAACTATATATATATATATATAGTTATTTTTTATTATAAAAAAATGTAACAGCTATGTTAAACTCAACAACTAAAAGTCAGTGTACATAATACAACAGAATCTCTCTAGCTTTGACGTTTTTCCACTAAAAGTATATATACAACAGAATCTCTGATGTTTTCCATTCATCTCTACTCTAGACTTGGTATTTAAGACAAATTTGTAGTTTATTTCAGAATACTTGCCAAGGTTTCAGGTTTTGTTTTATTTCGTTGACAACTTTCAAAGAAGTATTTTGTACTCCAGATTCTGAGGATATTACTAGATGTAAGGAATCTTCCATCCTGTTGGAATTAAAAAAAACTTAAATTTTGTAATAATCATTAATAAGCTAACATTAGGTTACAGAGACTGCACAAAAACAAAAGAATATTTATGAAAGGTATACATAAGATACTAAAAATAGCAGACATTATTAATGAAATGCTTAATCATTTCTATTTGTATTGATATAGGATATATCAAAACCATTTACACTCAAAGAAGAGGTTAATACTCAATTCCGAAACAACATAGAATTTTTATGAGAATTTACCTAATGAATCATTTTTGAAAGTATAACAGATCTTTATATCAGTTATTACTTGTTTTAAGATAATAATATGATTTAAAGCATCTTCATTAGTACCATCTATTCCAAGTAAAATTCCACCTGATATCAAATAAACAGTTATCTGTTTTTTTTTTCTCTAGTCCAGTTAAAAATTAATTGGGAAAACTTTACTAAGATGTTATCACAAAAGTGTGAATTAACCAAATTTATTTTTAATAAAAAGGTATTTTGTTGAACAAATGTGAAAATTATCTTGTAACTAAATCAATAAAGCTTAGTACTTTTAAGTGTTGATAAAAAGGACAATAAAACACATTTTCCAGTAATGATTATCCATCCATATCAATATTAGGAGGTTATTCCATTTTGCACTTTTAGGAAAGGAATAAAAAAAAAGTAAAAATACTGAGTTTTTTTGAGAGCAGTAAAAGTACTTTTAATATGAAAATATATTTCAAATCAAATCTATTTGAAAATGAATCCATTAAGGAATTGAGTGATTAATTAAACCATGATATAAAGTAAAATAACGAACCAAGTGGAATTCCATTTTCACAAACACCTTTGTAATGTATTATCCCATCAGAGGGGGGGGGGGACTCTCCAAATATTCAACTTTTTTTTTAGCCTTTTAATTTCTAGAAAAACATCCTTTCAAAGATAATTCCAAATATTCAACTTTTTTTTTAGCCTTTTAATTTCTAGAAAAACATCCTTTCAAAGATAATTCCAAATATTCAACTTTTTTTTTAGCCTTTTAATTTCTAGAAAAACATCCTTTCAAAGATAATTCCTTGGAGCAACAATGATAGCTATGATAGCAACAATGATAGCACAACAATGATAGCACAACAATGATAGATTAGAATCAAAATTATTAAATTCATAAAGGGAAACAATATTTAAGGCAAAAACACAAGAAAGGCAGTTGCAACTGATAAGTAAGTAATCTTCTAAAAGACTAACTCGGGTAATTTTTAAAGCTTTAAAATAAGATTGTATATACAAAACATTTTTAAATTCCTTTGATTCGTCTTGAAGTACAGTTTCCCAATATTGCTATCCCTAAGAAAATATTAAAACTGTTTTTCACATTTTATCCAATATTTTGATGGGTTAAGAAGAATGATAAATAAATATTCAAATTCACTATTGACCATTATTTTATAGCAGTAATGTTTACCAAAAGATAATTGTAGCCTTTTGGCAAATTTGTTAAATGATATTTGATTGTTTTTTAAATTTCGAGCAAAGCTACATGAGGGCTATCTGCACTAGCTGTCCCTAATTTAGCAGTGTAAGATTAGAGAGAAGGCAGCTAGTCATCACCATCCACTGCCAACCCTTGGGCTACTCTTTTGCCAATGAGTAGTGGGATTGACTGTCACATTATAATGCCCCCACGGCTGAAAGGGCAAGCATGTTTGGTGTGATGGGGATTCGAACCCGCGACCCTCAGATTGCGAGTCGAGCGCCCTAACCACCTGGCCATGCTGGGCCAAATGATATTTGAATTAATAGTTTTTATTGAATTCCAGTACTATTGACCAAAATTAAAAACCTTAAAAGGTTCCTTTAAAAATAGCCAGGGAACACAATCAAAAGCCTTTCCAAGATTAACCACTGAAACAGGCATAGGAACCAAAGAAGGAGATTTTAATTCTAGAATTTCCTCCTTCCCTGCACCACACAAAAAAGTACATCAATTTGGTGTTTGAACTTTTATGTACCCCAAGTAAAAATTTATTCTTACTCCTAAGTCATTTGGAGATAAATCATACAAAAAATTGATACTTTCACCAACATATCAACCAGTAACAGAGCCTTGTTTGGCTATCACAAATTATAGTTACAAAATAAATTTCAGCCTTATAAATAACTACAATTTTTAAAAATGTTAAATTTAATAATGCAATACATATCCAATTTTTAATAAATTTACAATAATTATCACATTTAGATAAAACACTAATTATATCTTCTCAATAAATACTGAATAACTCCTCTCTCAGAAAACTTTCAACAATCACACTGATTAAAAATATTTCCATGTCTTTTCAAAACATTTAAAACATTCAAATGCAAATTTGTCAGATGCGTGGAACTGTTTGTTTTTTATTTTCTTAAGACAATATGTTGTACAATAACTAATTTCCCCTTCTAACATAATGAATGTACAATTCAGCAGTTGAAAAAAGTTATGGATTTACAAAAGTATCTTTCAATTCCCATTTCTCATTCAAATTTCCCTCTTTTATTCTATAGAAATTTAAATAATAATTATATATCTTCATCATTTTATTTTAATTACCTGTAATGTATTACTCCATTGCCACTAACTAATCTATTAATACTTTTTGTTTAGAGAAATTTATCTGTTTAGAATCTAAGAAAATATTTACTAGTTTCTCTCCATTTATACCCATCTAGCTTTCAATCAAATCATACAGAACAATTCTCCAATGTTTGAAGATTTTGTTGCTTTTTTTCCCAACTAATCAAGTATATTTTCCCCACCATTAATGACCTTATTGTGAATAATCCCAATTTTGTCCTTTAATTAATTTTATACTTTGAAAGGGTTTTTATTTTTTATAGGATGAATAGAAAGTTTACATTTTGCAAATTTCACATAACACAGTTTCTAAATTATATTATCATTAACATGAAGATTAATTTTAACAGAAGCTAACTGGTAAGATATTTCATCTTTCCCTTTATTGATATATAGTATACCTTTATTAAAGTTCAAAAAATCTTTTTCTCTCATAGTTTCTACAAATTTTAATTCCAATCAACTTGGCTGATTTGATTTGTATTGTGAGATAACAGTTGCTTTTACAATATAATTTTTTAAATTACAGAAATAAAACCTTAAATGTGAGCTCTGTAAGGAACTTTAAGGAATCAAGTCAAGTTCTTTTCAGATGGGTTGTATGTTTTCAAATTTTGTATAAATCAAAAAATGATTCATACATTATTATGGTGAACACATAATAATTTACCAATATGCTATTTCAAATAACATCAACAACAAATGAAATTATTTCTCCTGTTCTTGGTGTCTGAGAATGAATTAATAAGATACTTGTTCTAAACATTATCTTAATGAAATATTACAAAACAAAACAACATATAATTTTACAAATATAATTAAACATTAAACAATAGGTGCATGTCTCTTATTAACATTCTAGGTTTGTCAATTCATATCATAGTTCTTGAATAGATTAACACCGATCTAGAAACCACATTGAAAATCACTTTTTAAACTTTTATGATAAAGAATTCTGCAAGCCAGCTCTTTTCATCCTTTTTTTATTACCAGTTTTTCTTATGAACAGTTTAATTACCAAAAAGCCTAAGCTGAGCTACACATTCTTGGCCATATTCCACCCAAATACATAGTTTATATTTTGCTGTAAGCTTATAAAAACATAATTACATAGTCTTTGCTGACTGAACAAAAAACCCAAATAGAAAAAAAAAATCTAAAGAATACAGTGACCATGTAGAATTCTCATGAATTAGAGAGTATGGTATAAATTTTCATCTAATGATGTTCTCAAAACCAATTAAAATCAGATTCTGTAAATTTATGTATTTTGTTTTTCTTTAAAAACACTATGACTTATGGTAGCCAAATGTTTAACTTAATATTTAATTAAAAGTAAACATGTATTCTCTCAGACGCCAAAACTTGAATTACAAAATTTTATAAGATTTATAATTAGATGACTTCTACAATAATTAACACACATATTCTTTTAAATGACAATGCCTGATAATCAGAAAATGAGTCAACTTAAAATTTAAAAATTCACTTGTTCATAAAAAGGTTGGTTGATATTAAACACATCATCATGTGTGAACCTTTTTTCTAGATAGCTTTTATATAACTTAACACACATCTGTGATCTAAAGCTTCTAAACAAATTGAACTAATGCATGTAAATAAGTTAGGCTAATTACCTGAGAAGGAATTTTTGGTGCCAGTTTTGCAAAGACATGAACATTTCCTTCAGTTAGAGCTTTGTACAATACATCAAACTGGGAGCTCATGGGTTCTAAGAGATCTTTGTAGTTTATTCCTTTAAAATTGAAGCAGAACCAAACATTAAAATCAAGCTGGAACATAGATATTTGAGTATTTTACATTAAAACAAAGCCAGTCTTATAACAACCACAACTGATAAAAAGTCATAATGGAATGGTATGTATTAGAACTATATTTCAATGTGTTTGGCATTTCATGACAGAGTGATGCCACAGAAAATTAACTGCTTTTGGGAAAGGTAAGTAATAGCACTTTCTAAAGCAAAAAATTCATAAACTCACAATATGAATCATGAAGATGTGTTCATAATGGAGATTTAGAATTTTCAAGACAGGAATATCTTTTATACTTAATGTCATGGAAAAATAATGGAATATTGATCAATTTGGGTCATCAGGATCATCCACAAAGAGACATGTAACAAGTCATACCCCATCTGTGGGAAGTAAAGTGTAACAACTTGTAACAGATGAGAATCCACAAACACAAAGGACAGTGACAAATGCCATGCACATGCTTCAGGCAACAGTATGCAACAAAATCACGAAGGATCTCCATCTGGAAATTAGTCCAACAGGGTATGGGTTCACCAAGAAAAGGCTCCCAGTCATACACCTCATTCACGTGTCACATACCTCAAATGACTGGAGAATGAAATGGGTATTCATGCTGTTCCATATCAATACATACTGGGTTATGTCACCAAAAGCTGCATCTACGGATTTCTAGATGATTGGATTGTTGAAACAGACACAAGGTAACTCATTATCACACACTGCATGGATTAAGGAAATCATGCATGGAGGACTATTGTGCTTTGGGCATGACATACTTGTAACAGAGCCATTTGCAATGGAAACTACAGTGCATGGTTGTTAGACATTGCATTACTGGACATGGTAGCAACCCTGTATAACTTACTTCAAATCATGTTATACACAATATTTTCCAAATAATTCTAATTGAAATGAACATTTTATTAATTCAATACAGCTTATTCTTCTTCAGATATGTTATAATCAATTTTTGCACCAACTGATGCCCTCTGCACTCCAGGTAAATTAAGTCCACAAAAATTAGAAGTGTTACGTCTCTGGTAGTTTGTTAATTTCCCATAAAAATTCTTTCCGAAGAACTTCAGCGATACAATTCCTTTCTTAAATAAAACTAGTTTATTCTTTCTCAATACAACTTTGCAATACACTTAAATTCCACAGTCACTTTAACTTACACACACGCTATAATTCACAACAATTTACACACTTTACTTACGACTTGACTCGATTATCCCGTTACTAATTTATCTGCCAGCTTACATACTAAAATAGAGGGTGCCTAGAAAAGACTAGAGTTGCGAGGAACAATCATGATCTTTCTAGAAACTTCATCGCGCAAGCTCCCAGCGTCACGTGACTTCCGTTGTCGTAACACTGCCCCTTCCTTAGTATTGTTCATCCCGAACAACAGCCACTTACATTAAACCAATAGATAATTAACAATAACTTGAATAAATGTACAGAATTTACAAACACAAAATTAAAATTCAACAAAGTCTCTTAATTTTAAGGGACATATCTTCTTCCATACTGGTCTCTATCTCATCGGCTTCTGCTTCATCTGCTCCATCAGGAAATGTCTTATTATCGGTAATAATCACATCAGTGGTAGTAACTTCATTAAGGGCTTCACTGTTTCCCTTCTCAAAACCAGGTAGAGTTTCTTCTTCGACAGTGTTTTTTTTTAGGTGACACGTCTTCAGCAGCGTCATTTGTTCCGTTGTTCCCTTTGTTCCAACTGAAATTTCCTAGACCGTGATAATGCCAAAGCCTGTTGGTATGCACCACCTTTGGCTTACCTCGCTGACCACATTTTATTCGGAAAGTCACGTCTGAGATACGATCCACTATGTCATATGGGCCTTCCCGTGGAGAAGACAACTTAGGAGACTTCCCTTTGGTCTTTCTGGGATTATACAACCACACCTTGTCTTCTGGTACAAAGTTGACTTCAGTAGATCTCTTATCATAACATAGCTTCATGGAATCAGCAGATGTTTTCAAGTTTGAATGCACTTGATGGTGAATATAATCCATCCTTTCAGAAAACACTTTCACGAACTCTGACACATTTTCAGGCAACTCTTTGTAAGGTGGGCATCCTGTTATCAGGTCCACTGGCAACCGAATTTCCCAACCAAACATCAGCTTTGCTGGAGTGTACCCAGTGGTTTCATGCTCTACTGTTCTATAGGCCATTAACAATGGAGGGAGTAGGACACCCCAGTCATCTTGGCGGATATTACAAAACTTTGCCAATTCCTGTCCAAGTGTTCAATTGTACTTTTTATACCATCCCATCAGACTGTGGGTGGAGTGGCATTGTCCTGGTCTTTCATATGCCAAACAACTTGCAACATTCATGGAACACAGCTGATTCAAAATTACGGCCTTGATCCGAATGCAGTTTGTATGGCCTACCAAATCTCAAGAAGAAATCACTAATAGCCGAAGCTACAGTTGTAGCTTCCTGATTTGGTATTGCATATGCCTCAGGCCACTTGGTGAAATAATCCATCACCACACAAATATACTTGTTTCCAGCACGCGTTTGGAGGCAAAGGACCAGCAATGTCAGTGGCTACTCTTTCCATTGGTGTGCCAACGTGATATAACTTCATTGGAGCACATCCCTTATGCTTGGGTCCCCTTTTAGCACAAAATGTACTGAATGTCCTGCACCATTCTTCCACATCTTGCCTCATACCTATCCAGTAAAATCTCTGTCGTAGGTGACTCAATGTCTTTTTAACTCTGAGATGTCCTCCTGTTAAACTATCATGGGATTGACGCAGCACAACTTCCTGTAAATTTCTCGGTATAACCGTTTGCCAGGATGTCACTTTCCCATCTCTAGCCAAGAATACCATCTTCAAGCTTCAACTGGTCCCATTGTGCCCAATAGTTCTTTGTCACAGAGCTTAAGCTAGACACCTTCTCCCAAGAAGGGCGCAAAACACTTGCTTG